CGGGGCGGCTCACAATGGCTGCACGCCGCACGCCACGCAGCGGGCAGGGCGCCCGGGTGGTAGGCAGCCCCCGTGCCCCTGCGCGCACGCGTGCACCCGCGCGGCCTACCCGCCAGGCGCTCTCCCGCCAGGCGCTCTCCCGCCCCGGCTCTCCCCGCCGCGCGCGGCGCGCTCTCACCGGCGGCATTCCGTCACATACGCACGACAAATACATCGGCGGGCCGGGCCCGGCCGGGCCGGCCGGGGGGAAGGGGAGAACGCCTCCATCAGACCCACCACGCTTCAAGCGTGCTGCATCTTGCCCCACATCCAAAGTGATGCTGTTGCCTCTGCGGCGGCTGCTGCTGCTGTGGAGGAAAGGGAGCAAACAAACAAAAAAATACGTTGCCCGCGCTTTGACGTAGAAAGCATAAGAGACCGGAGACTTTTCAGGATTCGCTTCACTCCTGGAACTAAACAGATCGTGGCAAGCCTGCACCAACTGCAAAAAAAGGGGGAGGGAAAAGTGCAATTTGTAACAGCATTACTTCTAGTGGGTAGAATGTGATTCGAATTTCGCTAACGGTTGCTATACATAAAAGCTATTTGGTGATGACTTTCGCAGAATTTTGTTTCTAGCTCTGTGTGGCTGGCTGGCTGGGTGCGCGTGCGTGTGAAATAAGATCGCCTGTGCTGCTGAGGTGAGGTTAGGCAGTGGGCCGGCCGGCAGTCGATACGAACCGCTGTACAGCGCGGGGTGTGGTATGGCGGGTATGGCGGGGCGCGGTGGGCCGCGGGTGCCGGCCGAGCCCGCTGCTCACGCAAACAGATAACGGTGGTTGGCTCGCGAGGCCCGTGGCGCGCCGTGGCGGGCTGGTGCTGCTTGTGCAGGCCGCCGCTGAGCTCTACACTGCGTCGAATCTCCTAACACACGCGCGCTTGTTCTAGGAATTTGGTGAGGGTCAGAAAATGGCTTCTTTAATTCAAAGGAATTCCATAAACAATTGATTCTATCATGTCACAGGAAATTTGCCCCATTAAAAAAAAAAAAGATGTCTTTGATTTAGCAATGAATGCTACTTGAGCACTGAACATATTTTCATACAGACCTAATTGAGATATTGGTAGGCTGTTGATTCCGCAATATTGCACTCGTTCACGAGTGATCAAGCGAGAGCTCGCGTGCCTTGAGGACATCAGCGAGGCAGTTGGGTGCAAAGTGTTTTGTGTGTCTTGGTGTTGTCAATGAGTAGTGCTCGGACACTAGAGGGCACCACCAGAGGACCATCAGAGCAAACAGGGCACCTCCAGGGCACCTCCAGGGCACTCCTAGAGCACCTCCAGGGCACCTCCAGGGCACCTCCAGAGCACCTCCAGAGCACCTAGAGCCCCTCCAGGGCACCTCTGGAGCACCTCCAGCAGGGCACCGCTTGAGCCGAGCCGGCAGTAAACTGACACCAGGTTTATATGGTCGCACTAAAAAGGGAAAAGTTACTCCTCTTCGGGTCGTGTTGGTAGGCCTGGGCCGGGCCTCTGCTAGGTGAGGTGCGGCAGGGCCCAGGCGAGCCCGCGGGGCGGCGAGCAAAACTGAGCGGAGCTGCTGCTGAGCAGAGCCGTACTTCCAATTTTCTTCTTTCCTGTGAAGCGCGGCGAGGTATGGAGGAGAGGAGCGAGGCGAGGAGGGCGCAGCAGGCTCGGAGAACCGCAATTCTCTCTTGTACGACATGCGGTTTTACTTTTCGTGACGTAGAGGGTTCCTCCTCCCCTGGCTCAAGCCCCGGCTCCTCTCTGCCCCTCCTTGTTCGAGACACGATGTCATTAGCAATACTGCTTTGCGGTCTGTCGGCCCACAATCATAATCGTCCTGCCGCATGTCCCTCCGTCC